TCTGGTGAGCGCACATGCCCTATAGCAAAAATTTCTCTAAAAAAAAAAAAAAAAGAAAATAGAGAAAGATAAAAAGAAAAATAGAAAAATTCACGTCAAGCTCTGTAGCATAATAGGGCAGAGTATGACTGGTACTCTCTGGAAGGCAATATTTCAGAAGCCTTCAGGGTGAGCATTGACACAGTAATTTCCCGTTAGGGGGCTTTTCTAAGGAAATAGGCAGAAAGATATACAAAGATTTATGCTCAAGGATATTCATCACAGCCTCATTTTTAATACTAAAAAAGAAACAAACAAAAAAAAGCAATACAATCTAAATATCCAAAAATAGGTATTGCCAAAATAGGTTATACATTCATACAAAAGCAATTTTTACAGACACTAAAAATCATGCTTTAGAAGGATATTTAACAGTATAGGAAATACGTAATGGTCATGAAAAGTACATTTCCAAGTAGTATATTCCATATGAGTCACGTGTTACAAAATGTTTATACACAGATACAAAAATAACAATGTGCCCAGGTGCTGATGATTTAGGGGTGGGGCAACAGACGGTGTGAAGTTTGGGGCAGGTGAATCTCGCATGGCCAGCTACGCAATCCTCAGACTCAGGGGCTGGGAAATTCACTGGGTTTGTGTGTTTATGCTCAGGATCCTTGAAGGGGAATAGGGAAGAGGTTGCAGCATGGCCAACAGTCCTAGAGGGTGCTTTCTCACTTTCCCTCTCCCTCTGTCCCTGTCTGTCTCCAGCAAGCACGTGCGCCCTGTAGCAAAAATGTAAAAGAAAAAAAAAAAAAAAGATTTTAGGGGTATGTGTTGAGATTATATATTTTAATTTTTCCTTCCAGGCTTTTCCACATTTTTCCAAAAATTTTTAAATGAACGTGTAAACTTTTATGGACTGTTAAAAAATATCATTTCACATTTATTTTACATTTTACATTTTAAAAAATCATTTTATATTTATTATTCTAGTGCTAGAGATCACTACTGACCATATCTCAGTGTATTTTCTTACCTTGATGTAGTTTATTCTAGCATTTTTCTTTGTCTAGAAAAGTATGTTCTATTTTTATATATGCACATTAGAATGATAAAACATTAAAAATTGTATTCTCACCTAGCCTCATCAGCCACCTCCCCCTAAAACAACAGCCTAGAAATAACTTATAGAATTATAATAAACAGTGATTAATCAGTTGGTTATTATACATGCTTTAAAAATATAACAACTATAGAAATGGATTGTTTAGCAGTTTAATAAAGAATTCTAGTTTTGCGCTTAAGTACAGCTTAAAATCAGATGGTGGTTAGATTAGATGACCTTTAAGGTCCTTGGCCATCCCGAGGTTCTGAGACTAATGGAACAGTGTGTTCAATTCTTTCTCCATTAATTATCCCTTTGGGAAACCTGGCTGTTCAGACCACGGGACCATAACCACATTTTTATGCTCTAATTTCAGGCAAAGTGTTCAGGAAGAAATCAAGGTCCCTCAAGAGCTAACCTACAAACTTAAGCCGTCAAGTGGCACACATCTCAATAGATATTTAAAATTTTGACATTAGCTAAGATATGACTATTGTTGTAATCATTAGGAAGTATGTAAAAGGATCTAGTCAAAAGATACTTGGGATGGAGAGAGGCCTGGTTGTAAGGGCCTCTTTGTTCAGAGTAGGGGTTTGTTTTTAGAATTTATCACCTGGTCTCTCTGTGAATTATGACTTTTAATTGAAAATAAAAGAAAATAACTAATTTGGAAATGTGCCCCTCAAGTTATATTTTCAATTTTTTAGGAAAGGAAATTGTGGAATACAATTCCTGGTTGGTCATCAACTGCTATTTTAAACAATTCTTTACATACATATAAAAAGAAATAGTACCTTTTCAAAAGCTTAAAGGAATAAAGCAAAGATATATTATGACCAGGTAGGACAATGGCAGAAAGGACATTGTTCCTTCACATTGCCTTTGACTTATAATTATTTGATTCCATTTAAAAGGTATTTTTGAGCTTCCTGTGGGTTTCAGCTCAATTATGGAATTATGTGCAACAGGAACATCAAGGGATGTAAGACAGAAAGAGAATATACTGTCTTCTTCCTACAGAAACATGGTGTTCCAGAAAATGCTTGCTTGCTTCTACATTGGTATAACCTTTTGACGCTTCTCTTCTTTCTTTTGTTTTTTTTTTTTTTTTTTGGTTTTTACCATAGGACACATGTGCTTTTGGAGAGAGACAGAGATAGAAAGTGCAAAAGCACCCTCCAGGGTAAATGGCCATGCTGAAACCCCTTCTCCACAATTCTCCTCTTGGGATTTTTGAGCACGCATGAACATATACCCAGCATATTTTTCAGGCCACCAGTTTTGGGACTCAAACTGCTGAGCTGGTCATGTGGGATTCAGCACCTTAACCACCATGCTACCTGTTGGCCCTAAAACCATGTTTTTTTTGTTTTGTTTTGTTTTTTAAGAATTATTTATTTAATTTTATTCATTGTTATTATTTCTTAATTTGCTACAGGGCATGCATGCTCACCAGAGAGAGCAAGAGAGAGAGAGAAAGCCACCAGGTCCAGGCCTCAAACCACGGTCAGCCATGTGGGAGTTCAGCACCCCAACCACTATGCCACCTGCCAACCCCAAAGTCACATTTTCTTACTTGCCATTTGGAACCTATGAAAAATTCATTCTCAAATTAATGAATTCATTTTTTTTGAGAGATTTTTTTCGCTATAGGGCGTGTGCACTCGCCAGACAGACAGAGACGTAGAGACAGAAAGCGAGAAATCTCCCCCTAGGGGGGATGGTCACGCCGCAATCCCTTCTCCTCCATTCTCCTCTCGAGATGTTGGGCATGCACTCACACGCGCCCTGCGTGAGTTTTAAGCCACCGGGTCCGGGACACGAACTGTGGTCGACCACGTGGGAGTCCAGCGACATAGCCATTACGCTAACTGCTGGTTCCCAGTGAATTCATTTTTTATACATAAAATAAATAGATACTGCTTATGTAAATCTTAGATTTACAATTGACCCTGCAAAATGAATCCTGGGCCATGGTCCTGTTTCTATCATTGTCCTTGTCAAGAAGTAATGTTGGCAAAGCTTGTAGGCTTCTACTAACTAAAAGGCTCGCACAGAGACTTAGTACAATTCTTAATAAACTCAAAGCATGAGTTGCTTTTCACATTCCAGTCTTATCTATTCGGCTTTAAAATTTTCAGTACGGTTGAATACCATTACTGTCCCAGAGACAATCTGACTTTCCTTATCTCCTCCCTTCATTGTTTTCGCCTCTCCCTTCTACTAGTAATTATAACCTCAGTAGCATCCCTTCAGCAGTTAGGGCTGGGAAATAAACAGCTTGCTCCAAAGGTAAAAAGCACCCCAACTCGCAGCAGCCCTTTAGCTGATTAAGCAAACTTCAAGTGCAGCACAGGTTGGGCACCAGGGCTGCTGCTGGGTTAATGCCATGATTCCACCCTACCCACCGCAGTTTCCATTCTTAAAGCACAGTTGGTGTATTTGCTACTCTGCCTCATAAACTGGTGTATTTATTTGTGACTCTATCGCAGATACGTGCTTTATTTGTGTTTTTTTGTTTGTTTTCTTTTTCAGCCTCATTGACTGTTATTTCAGTAAAAGCCGTCTCAAGCATGATCACTTTTTCTATGACGGATAAAATGCAACTAACTTATCCCATCTTCTATATCATGTTTACCATCATGATAGCATCTTGTGTTTTCCAAGTCAAGTAAGTTAGCTCCTACATACTCACTATTCTCTCCACATTCCTGTGCTTCTCTGAGCAGTCGTCTCTATTGGCTTCGGACAGTGATTTATGTTAGACACGTTGGTTTCTATGGGTGAAGGACCTACAGCTTGTCTTCAGCCAACATGCCTTGCTTGTCCTTCGCTTCCAATCATAAGATTTTACTAAGCCTTGCCTTCATGTCTGGTGAGTTCTAAAGTGCAGCCATAATCCAGCTAAGTGCACTTTGATACTTTCCTGATGCTCTTCTGCTTGTAATTAATACCCATCGTACACAGGTTGTCATTAGCAATAAATCAAAGGGGCAGGTCCACATCCAGGATCTTGTTCTAAATATAGGAAATACATGAACCTTTCACCTTCGTTTCTTAGCTCATGCTCATTAATTGCTCAGAGATGGACAAAACCAGACGTTTGGCCGGGAGGGAAATCCTTTCCCCAGAACTTTGCATCTTTGGCCAGAATTTTCTTGGTGCCCATGGGATTGTGGAATGATTGTTTTATGTTTCTCTTGGGGTCTAATAGTGGTGACATGAAACATTTTTAATTTCTGCTCTTTTTTCCCCCACCTCCATCTGCTTGAATCACTTCTCCGTTGCACATTGTGATTATGCCTTTGCCTGCTAGGCTTTCTTGGGTTGACCAGAAAGTTTTCTTTTCACCCTGAAACACTACAGAGCACCACCCCAGCACCAGATAGGAAGCCAAAGCTCATACTCAGAATAAGAGCAGTTTCTTCTGAAGGTGCTAAAAGTAAAGCATAATTGTTATGGGCTGGATGTAGGGTCTGTTACAAGGTCTGTGGAGAGCTAGTAGAGAAATCCAATGTTTGTCACTGTTTGACATTTCCTTATAAGACTGAGTGTGGGAACCAGCAGTTGGCATAATGGCTTTGTCACTGGACTCCCATGTAGCCGACTACGGTCCGAGTCCCGGACCCAGTGGCTTAAACTCATGATGGGCATGTGTGTGTGCATGCCCAAGATCCCAAGAGGAGAATGGAGGAGGGATTGCGATGTGACCATCCCCCCTGGGGGTGTGATTTCTCGCTTTCTGTCTCTCTCTGTCTTCCCAGTGAGTGCATGCTTCCTATAGCCAAAACCTCTCCAAAAAAAAGACTGAGTGTGATTCTTGCTATTTTGTTACTTTTCTTTCATCTTCTGAATTAGCCTACAATATATTTTGGGATTTAGTGATGAGCATCATTATCTTTATACTAAGCTTTATGAATTGAAAAGGCAAACATGACTGAAGGCACGCTGCATCCTATCAGCCTTGTTTCAGCCCTATGTACCCATCACACTAGAACTGCAGTGCTCAGCCTTGGCTGCCCATTAGAATTACCCAAGGAAGTTTGTACATGTATCTTTATGGACATGCACACATACACATATGTACATGCATTTATATACACGGAGGAGGCTTTCGAAAAAAAACATGGAAATGTGTATCATGAAGAACTAAGCAAAGATCTCAAATTTTTTGTTCTAAAACAACTTGTACTTTAATTTCATTTTCCCATTAACTTTTCTTTAAAAGAGATTTTTGCCACAGGGCAAAATCTCTCTCACGTACACTCACCAGAGTCACAGAGAGACAGAGAGGGAGAAAGTGAGAAATCACCCTCCAGGGGAGATGGCCATGCTGCAATCCTTTCCTCCATTCTCCTGTCAGGATTTTTTGTTTTTTAAGAATTATATATTTAATTTTATTCATTGTTATTATTTCTTAATTTGCTACAGGGCATGCATGCTCACCAGAGAGAGCAAGAGAGAGAGAGAGAGAAAGAAAGCCACCAGGTCCAGGACTCAAACCACGGTCAGCCATGTGGGAGTTCAGCACCCCAACCACTATGCCACCTGCCAACCCCAAAGTCACATTTTCTTACTTGCCATTTGGAACCTATGAAAAATTCATTCTCAAATTAATGAATTCATTTTTTTTGAGAGATTTTTTTCGCTATAGGGCGTGTGCACTCGCCAGACAGACAGAGACGTAGAGACAGAAAGCGAGAAATCTCCCCCTAGGGGGGATGGTCACGCCGCAATCCCTTCTCCTCCATTCTCCTCTCGAGATGTTGGGCATGCACTCACACGCGCCCTGCGTGAGTTTTAAGCCACCGGGTCCGGGACACGAACTGTGGTCGACCACGTGGGAGTCCAGCGACATAGCCATTACGCTAACTGCTGGTTCCCAGTGAATTCATTTTTTATACATAAAATAAATAGATACTGCTTATGTAAATCTTAGATTTACAATTGACCCTGCAAAATGAATCCTGGGCCATGGTCCTGTTTCTATCATTGTCCTTGTCAAGAAGTAATGTTGGCAAAGCTTGTAGGCTTCTACTAACTAAAAGGCTCGCACAGAGACTTAGTACAATTCTTAATAAACTCAAAGCGTGAGTTGCTTTTCACATTCCAGTCTTATCTGTTCGGCTTTAAAATTTTCAGTACGGTTGAATACCATTACTGTCCCAGAGACAATCTGACTTTCCTTATCTCCTCCCTTCATTGTTTTCGCCTCTCCCTTCTACTAGTAATTATAACCTCAGCAGCATCCCTTCAGCAGTTAGGGCTGGGAAATAAACAGCTTGCTCCAAAGGTAAAAAGCACCCCAACTCGCAGCAGCCCTTTAGCTGATTAAGCAAACTTCAAGTGCAGCACAGGTTGGGCACCAGGGCTGCTGCTGGGTTAATGCCATGATTCCACCCTACCCACCGCAGTTTCCATTCTTAAAGCACAGTTGGTGTATTTGCTACTCTGCCTCATAAACTGGTGTATTTATTTGTGACTCTATCGCAGATACGTGCTTTATTTGTGTTTTTTTGTTTGTTTTCTTTTTCAGCCTCATTGACTGTTATTTCAGTAAAAGCCGTCTCAAGCATGATCACTTTTTCTATGACGGATAAAATGCAACTAACTTATCCCATCTTCTATATCATGTTTACCATCATGATAGCATCTTGTGTTTTCCAAGTCAAGTAAGTTAGCTCCTACATACTCACTATTCTCTCCACATTCCTGTGCTTCTCTGAGCAGTCGTCTCTATTGGCTTCGGACAGTGATTTATGTTAGACACGTTGGTTTCTATGGGTGAAGGACCTACAGCTTGTCTTCAGCCAACATGCCTTGCTTGTCCTTCGCTTCCAATCATAAGATTTTACTAAGCCTTGCCTTCATGTCTGGTGAGTTCTAAAGTGCAGCCATAATCCAGCTAAGTGCACTTTGATACTTTCCTGATGCTCTTCTGCTTGTAATTAATATCCATCGTACACAGGTTGTCATTAGCAATAAATCAAAGGGGCAGGTCCACATCCAGGATCTTGTTCTAAATATAGGAAATACATGAACCTTTCACCTTCGTTTCTTAGCTCATGCTCATTAATTGCTCAGAGATGGACAAAACCAGACGTTTGGCCGGGAGGGAAATCCTTTCCCCAGAACTTTGCATCTTTGGCCAGAATTTTCTTGGTGCCCATGGGATTGTGGAATGATTGTTTTATGTTTCTCTTGGGGTCTAATAGTGGTGACATGAAACATTTTTAATTTCTGCTCTTTTTTCCCCCACCTCCATCTGCTTGAATCACTTCTCCGTTGCACATTGTGATTATGCCTTTGCCTGCTAGGCTTTCTTGGGTTGACCAGAAAGTTTTCTTTTCACCCTGAAACACTACAGAGCACCACCCCAGCACCAGATAGGAAGCCAAAGCTCATACTCAGAATAAGAGCAGTTTCTTCTGAAGGTGCTAAAAGTAAAGCATAATTGTTATGGGCTGGATGTAGGGTCTGTTACAAGGTCTGTGGAGAGCTAGTAGAGAAATCCAATGTTTGTCACTGTTTGACATTTCCTTATAAGACTGAGTGTGGGAACCAGCAGTTGGCATAATGGCTTTGTCACTGGACTCCCATGTAGCAGACTACAGTCCGAGTCCCGGACCCAGTGGCTTAAACTCATGATGGGCATGTGTGTGTGCATGCCCAAGATCCCAAGAGGAGAATGGAGGAGGGATTGCAATGTGGCCATCCCCCCTGGGGGTGTGATTTCTCGCTTTCTGTCTCTCTCTGTCTTCCCAGTGAGTGCATGCTTCCTATAGCCAAAACCTCTCCAAAAAAAAGACTGAGTGTGATTCTTGCTATTTTGTTACTTTTCTTTCATCTTCTGAATTAGCCTACAATATATTTTGGGATTTAGTGATGAGCATCATTATCTTTATACTAAACTTTATGAATTGAAAAGGCAAACATGACTGAAGGCACGCTGCATCCTATCAGCCTTGTTTCAGCCCTATGTACCCATCACACTAGAACTGCAGTGCTCAGCCTTGGCTGCCCATTAGAATTACCCAAGGAAGTTTGTACATGTATCTTTATGGACATGCACACATACACATATGTACATGCATTTATATACACGGAGGAGGCTTTCGAAAAAAACCATGGAAATGTGTATCATGAAGAACTAAGCAAAGATCTCAAATTTTTTGTTCTAAAACAACTTGTACTTTAATTTCATTTTCCCATTAACTTTTCTTTAAAAGAGATTTTTGCCACAGGGCAAAATCTCTCTCACGTACACTCACCAGAGTCACAGAGAGACAGAGAGGGAGAAAGTGAGAAATCACCCTCCAGGGGAGATGGCCATGCTGCAATCCTTTCCTCCATTCTCCTGTCAGGATTTTGGGCATGCATGCACACAGGCCCAGTGGTGAGTTTCAAGCAGCTGGATCCAGGACTTGAGCCATGGTCAGCCATGGGGGAATCCAGCACCTTAACCACTACGCCACCTACTGACCCCTTCCCATTAACTTTCTGAAGTCCCTTCATATTCCTGAATATGTGCACACATGCACACAAACCCACCTGGGCTCCACTTGCAAAGATGCTATAGACTACAACCTGAGCATTAGCGCCTTTTTAAAGCACCTAGGTGTTATCAGTGCAATTCGTCGCTTTAGGAGTCTCATCCCGGCCTGTGCTGGGACAACACAGCACAGTTGAGGGAACCTGCATTCCTGTCGGTGACCAGAGGCAGCAGCCGAGCTCCCACATGTGCACTGCAGCTGGAGCACGGAGCGTTGTTTTTGAAACATTAAACATTCTTTTACTTCTCCATCTTCCTTGGCACGTGGCATATCAATGGATAGCTATACTATTCCCCAGCTATGATATTTAACAGATTCTAGGGTCTATCCTAATAAGTCAGCCCCAGTGCGATACTGGTCCAGCAGCTTGAATCACTTCCAACTCAAACTTCTGTGGCCTCCAAATATGATTAATTGCTTTTCATTGTTACTGTTGTTGGTTTAAACAGACCATAAAACCTGACATCTGATCTCATACATCAGATGCGTATAAGCTCTGACTGCTGATTGGAAATGCCCTTTCGCTGCACTTCCTTTCCCTTTGTAGTTGTAGCTAAAGAACAGGCATTTCTTGAAGTTAATGTTAACTTATTGCTGAGTGTCTCTTAAAGCCAGAGCTCCAGTAAGTGCGTGCCTTCTGCTCTAGGTTCCTGAATCAAGCCACGAAACTCTACAATACGACGACGGTGGTGCCAGTTAACCATATTTTCTTTACAACCAGTGCCATTATTGCAGGTGAGTTTGGCTTTTTATATATAGGTGACTCCATCCTCACCACAGTGTCCATGAAGTTTCTCTCTACGTAAAGGAGAAAATTAGGAATCTGTGTGGCCTGTATACCCCTGGTCTCATGGAGTGTCCGAATTCCCTCCAAGACATCCTTGGGACAGGTTCCTCTGTTTCGTGTGAATGTGATGCAGTGTTCCCTGCCTCCTGAGACAACTCTGTGCTGTTTTGGATCACTTTCACTATTGGGAGACTTCTAACTAGAAAGTGTTTCCTTACTTTGCTGCTGAAATTAGTTTCCTTGTGAATTCAAGACACTCATCTGAGTTCTGCTCTTTGGAGTCTTCCCTTGGCCAGCCCTTCCCATAATCAAAGCGGCTGAAGGACACCTTGAGTCCGACCTCTGGCCAGACATGCCCCAGTTCGGTCAACTCTTCCCTACATGCCCCTCATCAGCTTCATCATAGAGTAGGGGCCAAATCTAAACTTGGCGTTTCAGGGAAGGCCTGACAGATTAGTATAGAAATGATCACGGTCCCTGTTCTGGCCTCTATTTTTGTACTATCGCAATTCTCTTATTTCTATGGGACTTATTTTTAACATGACATACCTAATAGTGTTTAAACAAAAGGTATAAACTTGAAACTTGGTCCAAGCCAAAATACAGTAGATTCAAGTATATCATGTCCAAATGATACTAGTTCATTGGTTTCTTAGCTGTATCCACCACCTTATCTTAGGAGTTCATTTCTCAAAGCAAAGATTATGTATTTTTAAGGTAATTAGAGATTATCTGTTTCCTAACTTTTTAGGAAACCTCTTCTTTATTTTATGGCAAACAACATGACTGCCAATGGACAGTCATGAATTAATTAATGAAAATAATTCATTCATTTTTGAGTCCTAAAATTGAACTTTATATTTTAAAAAGATTATATTCAAAGACATCTTTTTTTATTATTTTAATTTTATTTCTTTTTTTAATTTTTTTACTTTTCCACAGGGCATGTACACTCACCAGAGAGAGAGAGAGCTAGAAATCTTCCCCCCTTCCCCAGGAGGTGGCCACACCACAATTCCTTCTTCTCCATTCTCCTCTCAAGAGTTTGGGCATGCATGCACTTGTGCCTGGAGTTGATTCTTAAGCTGCTGGCTCTAGGACTCAAATCACACAGCTGGCCATGTGGCATCCAGCCGCCTTACCCCCCACATTACTTGCTGGCCCTTTTTAAATATTTTCTACTTATTGATAAAAGAAAGCGAGAAAAGATTGCATATTGGTATATTTTTAGAAAAGGAAAGTTAAGGCCATAAAGAGTGATAGTCATGACATACATCCTAATAATTAGCGTTAATGTTCATGAAGGTGTATAAAGAAGATAGTTTCAGGTTGGCTCTGTGGCCTGGTGACTAAGACAGCCAGGCCCTACATGACCAATAGCTCAGTTTGAGTACTGGACCTGGAGGCTTAAGAAACACACTGGGTACCTGTGTGTGCATGTCCAAAATCCCGAAAGAAGGGGGAAATGGAGGGGAAAGGATTGAAGCATGATCATCCCTCTTGGGGAAGAGGGATGCCGTATCCTCTCCCTTTCTCTCTCTCTCTATCGTTCTGGTAAGGACTTATACCCAGTAAGGAAAAGAAAGAAAGAAAGAAAGAAAGAAAAAGAAAGAAGAAAGAAAGAAAGAAAGAAAGAAAGAAAAAGAAAGAAGAAAGAAAGAAAGAAAGAAAGAAAGAGGAAGGAAGGAAGGAAGGAAGGAAGAAAGAAAGAAAGAGAGAAAGAAAGAGAGAGAGAGAAAGAAAGAAAGAAAGAAAGAAAGAGGAAGGAAGGAAGGAAGGAAGGAAGAAAGAAAGAAAGAGAGAAAGAAAGAGAGAGAGAGAAAGAAAGAAAGAAAGAAAGAAAGAGGAAGGAAGGAAGGAAGGAAGGAAGAGAGATAGAGAAAAGAAAAGAAAGAGAGATGGCAATTCTCCTGAGAAGAGGTTTTCTAAGAGGACCAATAGAGCTGGGCCTTAGTACTTAGCACACAGAGTAATCGATGGGTCAGGGAGTCTGGAACTTTCTAGAAGTGATAACAATTTATCTGCTGTTCCTGGGATATAGAATGGAGATGAAGCTTTTTTACCAACTTCTCCCTCCTACCTCCGTCCAAAAGTGTAGCTTAAAGTTAAAAACGAGATACCATAGTTTGCCTAGCAAATTAGTAGTTTTTGCTTATCTTTTTTATTGCAGTATGAAGTGCTGGTAAGGCTGCAGTATCAGTATGCTCATGAGTTGGATAGTGTAACACCACCCTCATAGAATGGAGTGTCCTCGTTTTTATAAAAAGCCTTAAAAATGTGTCTGCTTTTTTATTCTACAAGTTCACAACAGCAAAGCAAATAATATGATTTTTAAATGGGCAATGACTTGAGTAGATGTTTCTGAAAAGAAGATACACAAATGGCTAATAATCATATGAAAAAATGTTTGACATCACTAATCATCAGGGAAATGCAAATAAAAAAGCACAATGAGGTGTCACCTCATACTCATTAGGATGGCTATTATTAGGAACAGGAAATAACAAGTGTTGGTGAGGAGGTAGAGAAATTGGAACTCTTGGTGCGCCATTTTATGGGAACCAGTATGGTAGTTTCTGGAAAAAAATTAAAAATAGAATTACCACATGATTCAGCAGTTTTACTTCTGGGCATATATCCAAAAGAACTGAAAACAGGGATCTTGAAAAAAAATTCATATACCTATATTATTACTCACAATAGCCAAAGGTAGAGATAAGTCAAATGTCTGTCAACAGATGAATAGATAAACAAAATGTGGTATAGGGCTAGCCCATGGTGTGGTGGTTTAGTCAGCTGGATTCCTCCTGAGTGTGCAGTTCAAGCCCCAGACCTAGCATTGGAAAATACTCCAGGTAACATGTGTGTACATGTGTGCCCAAAATCCTGAGAGGAGAATGCAGGAGAAAGGATTGTGCTGTGGCCATACCTTCCCTCTGTGGGAGTGTGATGTGATTTCTGTCTCCCTTTTTCTCTTTCTCTTTTTCTCTCTCTGTCTCTCTCCACTTTGCACATGTACCCAATAACAATTATTTTAAAAAGAAAAGGAAAATGTGGTCTATACATACAGTGAAATATTATTCAGCCTTAAAAAGGAAGTTCTGACACATGCTACAGCATGCATGAACTTTGAGGACATTAAGCTAAGTGAAGTAGGTCAGTCAGAAAATGACACTACTGTATGATTCCACTTAAATGAGATATCCAGGTAGTCAAAATTATAGAAACAAAAAGTTGAATGGTGGATTCTAGGGACTGGGGGAGGAGAAAATGAAGATCCATTTAATGGAAATAGTTTCAGTTTGTAAGATGAAAAGTTCAGGAAATTGGGGTCGGCAGGTGGCGTGGTGGTTAAGGGCCTTGGACTCCACATGGCCAAATGTGGTTCGAGTCCTAGACCTGGCAGCTTGCTTTCTCACTTTACTTTTCTCTCTGTTTCTCACTCTGTTCCTCTCTGGTCAAATTAAAAATAAGTAAAGGAAGAAAGAAAGAAAGTTAAATAAAATAATTCTTTTTAAAAAGTTCAGGAAATTGTATAATAATGTGAATATACTTAATAGTACTGAATTATGTACTTTAAAATGGTTAAGATGGTAAATAAATTTTTATGTATATTTTATTACAATTTCTTAAAAGAAAAATCGTTGCCTTTTTGAAATAGAAAATCCACTTCTAGTAGCTCCTTTTAATGACCTTCCAGTGGTTAAAAAAAAATGCTAAAATGCTGCTAAAAATATGTACAAACAAGTTCATTACTACTTCACTAAAGAAAAAAGTTTAGAGGGGGAGGTGATAGCACAGTGGTAACATAATGGGAAAGGCCCTGATCCATGTCCTGGAACCTCCCTGAGGGCGTCAGGCATATTTGCACACAACTGTGATCCTGGCCAGCTGAAATTGAGGATAAATTGCAGTTTGGAGACTTAGTTAGGGGCGTTCTCTCTCTCTCTCTCTCTCTCTCTCTCTCTCTCTCTCTCTTTCTGCTTCTCTCTGTCATGGGGGGGGATACATTTTTTTTTTTT